TTGTCACTGCTACTTGTAAAAAGTGATGCAGCTGTGCATCAGTTAGGCTGGATCTGGTTGGAGATTTCAGATGTTTCATTCGAGATGGTTACCATTTTGAGTGCATGGCTCCTGAGATTAAGATATGTCTCAGAGGAGAGAGATGCATAGAAATTAGTAAGGCTTCTTGACTTGAATACATATTTCAGGGAGTTACAATTCTGTAGTTTGGCCAGTTCCATTTGGTAAACCGTATCAACAATTTCCATGTCAACAGAAAATGGGTTCCAGAAAAGGATGTATGTCCTGTTCATGGAGATGAAACTCTTTAAAGTGTGGGGAGGAAATTACTTCAATGAATAATCTTCATGAATTATAATTAAGCTTTTACTATATAGTATAATGACATAACCCCAAGCAGGTTGTGAGAATTTTTATTTGTTAATATAGGAAAATTTACTCATTAATGTTAAGAAATGTTATTATTATTATTATAAGAAAATATAATAGTAAAAATTGTGCTAAATCCTACCTCTTCCTTTGGGCCATACTCTTTTTGGATCTGCAGCCCTCAAAAGCTTGGCCAACATGAAAACTGGTCTCCAACCATGCTGAAGTTGCCCACCCTTTCTCTAAAGGCTTTTAAAGATTAATAATAATAATAATCTCTGTTGCTGCTCCCAGACTTTGGAACTCCCTTGAAACCTGGAGAGAACCAACCACATAGGTCTTGCTAGGGAGAAACTTCCATAACTGGAGGGCCATAACTGAAAGGGCCCTAAATGCCAATCCTACATAGTGTGCGTCTAAAAAAGAAAAACATTTGCAAAAGACTACTTTGTAGACCTTGAGGTATGTGAGAGCTGGCTTCTCTGATATTCTTCCTTCAGATACTCTGGTCAACAGCCCCTCCCATTTTGAATTGTGCCCAGAAATATATTGAAAGTCAGTACAGCTCTTTTAAAAAAGCACAAATACCGTGTTTCCCCAAAAATAAGACAGGGTCTTATATTAATTTTTGCTCCAAAAATGCATTAGGGCTTATTTTCAGGGGATGTTTTATTTTACAGTAATGTCATCATCTTCTGGTTGCTGTACAAGGGTGGAGGGCGGGGTTTCAATTAACTGGGACTTATTTTTGGGGGTAGGGCTTATATTACGAGCATCCTGAGATATCATACTAGGGCTTATTTTCAGGTTAGGTCTTATTTTTGGAGAAATAGGATAGAAGATGCACAATGTCCTTTGCTAAGGACTTCCAGTGAGAGGAGTTTAATGTCCTATGTATATCTGGCTTGAAGAGATTGCCTAAGAATTGTGAGGTAAGACATACAAAAATTATCCTATAGCAAATTCACTGGTCCTTGACATGCCATGAGACTCTTGGTTACTTTTATTGCCTAGGGCAGTACTGCTAAAAGGGGTAAATAGATTGACAATGCATTCATCTGAGGATTGCTTTTATCACTGGCTCCTTCAGATGATTAAATGATTGTCAATACCTTCTCTTTGTTTTCCCCTGTTTCTTTTAAATTTCATGGTCTGGAGGAAAGAACCCCCCCCCCCCAAAATGGCTGGGAAAAGAGGGAGATCTGTGGGTAGGTATTGTAGACACACCCTGGCCTCCCTTAAAAGGGATCCAGCTACTCAGGAGTAGCAACAGAGTCTACAGAAAAGAAGTTTCACCAATGTGTCCTATCATTATGACAATCCAGAACTTAGAGCTCTTATTTAGTCCCCTCTTCTATCACTCAATGCTGAAAAATGTGGGGTTCCAAATACGTAGCCATGTTACTCTGTCTCAGCATGTTGCAAAAGAAAAGGAGAAGGGAGCAAAAAACAAGATATAGGGTAGCACAATTTTTATTTCAGCCTGAGTTTTGGGGGATCAAAATCCACTTCCTCAGATACTGGAGTGCAAATACATAATGAGAATATTTATGTATATTCCCATGACCAATTGAAGATACAGACAATACGCAAAGTGACAATGGTTTGTTAACACAAGAATGGGACTATCAAGCTACAAAATACTGAAGTAATCAGTCATGGGCAGGGCAACAACTGCAGGCCAGATGGACTTGACTGTCATAGGATTGCTGGGAGGTGTTATTGGGTCAGAAGGCAGAGTTTTGTACCTATCAGATGGTAGAGAAAACGGGGTTATTAGTAGATACAGTGTGCAAAGAAGCCTTAGTCTCTGTTGAAGCTCCTAGATGTGCACTGGAACTTGTTCATGTACTGTACTCCAGATGCACTCTAATTTGTTCATGTTCTGGTATATGAAAAAGATACAGACATTCTTGCTGCTGCTTTACCACATGCATATTGGTCTATGGCTGCATTTTGTGCATAATGTACCTGTTATAGCCTAGAACATCCTTTATGTTCAAGGACTATTTCAACTTGAGTTTAATAGAGTTCCTCATCTTGTGTCGCTCTTGGATGATGATTTTTGTTCTGTTTCTATAGAATCTTGAATATTATCTTGTTCCTGAGGCCTTCAACTTTAACATTGCTTTATTCTTCTTGATGTTTGTTTTCCTTTGTCTACAACTAGAGAAAAACATAGTTCAGAAGACGCATGAGCTGCTGCTGTTCTTCACAGTGGCTGAATGCTAAATATGGATCCTCTTAAGAGTAGGAAAAAATAAACTGTCAGCCTGCAGTTCGAGCTGGATATGCATTTATATACTTGAGGCCTCCTTTTGTCATTTTCACTGTTGTGCTGAAGTTGAGAGACGATAGAGCTGAGCATCTCAGACTACGGTAGTTGGTGAAACTCTTCTGAGTCCTCAGTTCATAATTTTATGATAAATAAGTCTGGAATCATATAACCATTTGCTTACCTGGAAGCAAGTTCCACTGAATCCAGGAGAACATGAGAACAAAAGAAGACATTGATGAAAGCAGAAACATTCTCTTCATAAATGTTTTTACAGAATTTGAGTATTTTTCACCTGTTGTCTAATGTAAATATGTAATGGAGAACATTGCTAGGGATCGTATCACTTGGAAGAGAATGCCTGAGCATTTCCAATCCTTAATCTTCAGACTATCATGTTTTTAATTAGAAAGGATTGCTGTAATGTAACCCAGTAAAAGAGCAAATCTGATACCAAGTGGGGCAAAGAAGAAGAAAAAAAGGCCCCACAGATAAATGATGCATTCTTTTAAAACTGCATTAAATATCTTCAGCCATTTCACCATTATTTCTTTATTGAAATTTCAACAAAATCAAACCACATTAGGAAGAGAGCTTTGAATGTTTTATATTTATCTGCTTTTTCAGTAACAGTGTATCCTTTATACCAGGAATTCACAAGTACTTTAGCTTATCTTCACATTTGAAAGTAGTGGCAACTTGTTCTACCAGTCTGATCTTTCGTCCAAAGAAATAAAAGTTTTGTGCTTCACTCCGCTACGATATACCACGTTCTGAAAACACAGAACTGTTGCTGAGTTTTTGGTTGGTTGCCCAGGTTTCTGTCCTTGTTTCTTTATTGCTTAGCAACACTATACTATCATGAAGAAAGCTGATACTAAGTCAGAACAGGAATGGGTTGGTAATTTAATGGAAAAACAGAAGCTAGGCTTACAGGGAGAAAAGCGTTTTGTTTTTTGCTTTCTATCCGTGTAAGCAGGTTTCACTTGAAAAACCATGGAAATTCCTTCTGTGTACTTTGCCTTAAAAGGTGAATTCAATGTAACTTTGATTCAGAAAATGATGATGTAATAATGGCATGTTCTCCTTTGTCTTTGTGTAGAGTTCTAAATTGTATGCAGTGAGGCAGACAGGAGGGGAATTGTAATGGAAATATTTTTGTCCTTGTGCCATGACATAATTAAGCCAGTTTACAAATTCTGGATAAAGATCTTCAACAATTTTATAAAAGTCATTTTTTAAAAAAAAGCCCACTAGGTGAGATTACAAGAGTTGTGTTTTGTTGGATTTTGGGACTTTTTGTGCAGAAAGTTAAGAGAAGTAAGTTCTCTCTCTCTCTCTCTCTCGCTCTATGTGTGTGTGTGTGTGTGTGTGTGTGTGTGTGTGTGTGAGTGAGAGTGTGAGAGAGAGACAGAGAGAGAGAGAGTGTGTGCAAAAGTTGTATTTTGCATAAAAAGTCAGAGGAAAGAAGTGTATTTTTCCAAAATGCAGACGTCTTTGAAAATGCAAAATGCAAACATTTTTCTACAAAATATTCAGGTTTTTTATAAAATGTTTGTATTTTATTTTCATTTTTGCTTAATTTTTGCAGCTACCAAAAGGGGGGGAAAAAGAAAAGGAAGGAAGGAAGGAGGGAGGGAGAAGAAAAACTTGGTCTTTTTGCTCTCTTGCAAAAGTTTCAAAGTGGTTGACTTTAAAAAAATTAAGTGTTCTTAAGCGTTCAGACATTTCTTGTTGAGGACAAAAAGGTACAGTATTTGTTACATCCTTACTACATACAAAAGGAGACATAGCTCATTTGGGTTGCTTGATTTCTTTTCTATACTGCTAGTAATAGAAACAGTAATTTGATAACAATAACATGGTTGCATCTAGAATTTCAAGAAAAAGAATAGTGTATAGAAGGCAACAGAAATAGCCAATTCCTTTTCAGTTCACAAATAATTTTGCAATTTTTTTCTGTGGACTGAAAAGGAAGCCTCTTCAAACTAAAAATCATAAATGATGCACTGTCTTCAAGACACGTCCAATGTTTTCACACTCATCTTAAATGTCTGTGTTCTATTTAGTGCAAGTTGCAGGATGACAAGAACTGCTTCTGTGGAGTGTAATCCATGGGTCATACAGAATCTATTGAACACACACTGGCTAATCTGGGTTTATATCTAGGTCAACTTGACATAACTTGATTTTTAACAGCATTGACATTGGCTGACCCAGAAAACAGCCTAGGACAGCTGGGATCCAGTTAAGGCAATGGGATGCAGTAAGTGACAGATTATCTGCAGATTTGTTACATGGATGCTGTACGGATGCATAACCATGTTTGTACGTAACAAGCCTTTCTCCTTCACAGAGTGTCGACCATTCAAATTTGTCTGTAATTGTGCAGAACAAGAAGTGCTTTGATAATGATATTGTTTGCTCAAAGAATGTTTTTATCTCAGTCGGAGATGCTGAGATTTTTCTCACTGAGCCTCTAGATGTACAGGTATGTTTTGCTTTGTGGTGTTGTGTTTTCTTTTCTTTTCTACTTAATCTTGATATTACTAAACTACAGGATAACTTGATAATTAAAATTCAGTTTCTCTAATGGTGAATTATACTTCCAATGACATAAAGTTACTCTACGTAAGACTGAAGATGTCATAAATCACAGCCATATTTGATTAATTAAAAGTTTCCTAGCTCTTATGGTGCAAAAAATACAGTAATCTTGATATTACTAAACTACACAATAACTTGATAATTAAAATTCACTTTATCTAATGGTGAATTATACTTTCAATGACATAAAGTTACTCTACGTAACACTGAAGATGTCATAAATCACAGCCATATTTGATTAATTAAAAGTTTCCTAGCTCTGTCCCCCAGCTTCCTAGGCTTCCTTACAAAAACTTTGTTATTGAGGAAGCCTTTGGGGACAGCAGGACAAGGAAGGATTCTTAAATGTCTAAAAATATCTGCTGCTGGTAATAATAGTAATAGTAATAATGTTAGAACTGCAGAGCTGGAAGGGACCCTTTGGATCATCAAGTCCAGCCCCTGTCAAAGAGGCACAGTGGAAAATTGACCTCTCATGTCCCTAACTAGGTGTAGTGCAAGTTTTTCAGTAAATGTTTTGAAGCAATCCAGAATGGTTGCTTCCGATATAAGCAAGAGCTTGGTGTACAAACCTGGAATTCACATAATACATGTGTCCTGCATCAGAGAAAGCTTTTGAAATTTTCCTGAAGGCTTTTTACTTTAATACAAATAATATTTATTTTAATCGATAGTTCCACTTGAAATTAGAGGCTGTTGTACATTTTCTTAACTTTTTGTATAAATATAA